AAAAATGGCTTAAAGATAAAAATATTCCTTACAATAATTTAGAAACATTGGCCGAATTCAAAATGAAGGTGAAAAATATGATGCCACGTGAAAAATCGTATCTCCTTGATGAGTTGGCATTAGAAAGAGGTCATGAGGTGATACGACTTCCTCCCTATCACTGCCAGTATAACGCTATTGAGTTGATTTGGGCTCAAGTTAAAAATGAAGTTCCCAAAAAAAATAACACTTTCAAGATGGTAGACATTGAACGTTTGACTCATGAAGCGTTAGATTCAGTGACTGTACAAGATTGGGAGAAATGTGTACGATATGCAGAAAGTATTCAAACCCAAGAATATGAAAGAGAAGTTCACAGGGATGCCATATTAGAACCCATTATATTAACCATATTACCAGGTGATAGTGATTCGAGTGATGATGACACAGATAATGATGATGATTAAGCTATTTATATATATATATTATATATGACATATTTGGTAACTAATTTCGACCCAAAAATGGACTTAAAACAGAGTAAAAAAAAAAAAACTTATAGACAATTACTCCTTAGGTACGTCAGATAAGCTTTTAATCAATATCAACTTCAAATTTGAAAAAAAAAAAATTTCGGACTTAATGGGTTAATTTGATTCTTTTGTTCAATTTTACTCATTCTCAAATAAGAAATGGACAACGAACACCTAGGTAATTATTTAATTTACTTAATATATATTTTTATGATGATAAACAAAAAAAAAAATTTAGAAAAATCGCATAAAAAAATTAATACTTATATTTCAAAGCGTGTAATTAAAAAATAACCAAAAATAATCGTTAACCAATATCTAATAAGTATTGTATATATTCTACTGTATAATATCACAAAAATCGGTTTGCGTCCATTTGCGTCTCTATTTTTAATATTTTTTTTTGTAGCCTGTTCCAGTAGTAATGTCGATATAGACGATATCGACATTAACGAAAATTTAAATTGCAATAATTCATATTCTTATTTTTATACTTATGATGATTTATATCAACTATTAAAAAATAGAGGTCCATTAAATCCTCACTCTATAAAATCAAGAAGATACTTACTCGAAATGTTTAAGGCTAGATACGAAATTGAAGAATGAAATTTGCATTATACAAAATTAGTTGAACAATTAATTTTGAAGTTTACTTTGGTTTTATAAAGATTTTGGACGAAAACCTCACGGAACCATATAAAATGTATTCAAGCTAACAGTGAGTGGCTTAAATGTGAACTTGAACTACCTTAACAAGAACAAAACAAAACTATAGGAAGACCAGTCAAAGATTTTGAAAATAGTTGTGAAAGATCGAAACGGAATAAAATTAAAACAATAATAAATATATTTTCTTCTTCTGAAATGATACAAGCTACACAAACTTCACTTCATTCATCTGGAAATAGAACTGCAGCTTATTTATTAAAAGAGTCAATTAAAACACCTACTAGAGCATTAAAAATTAAAAAAGTGTACGTATTCATTGAATGTAATTATTCCGTACACAAATGACGAAGTTCTAGCTTTTTTCTTGGACAACAATTTAACCAAACAGCAATATATTAATATTCGACTCTCTGCTAAAAAAAAAATGTTAATATTTATTCTACTTATGAACAAATTTTAGAAGCAAAAAGAAAGTGTTATCCTATAAACATACAAGTTAAGGAAACAGCTTGTGAAATCAACATATAAGATCTTTTTGATCATACAATTGTTTGAATTTTTACAATCCCATCTCTGTCAAAAATAGAAAACCGAATGCATAATTTTGAAATAATATATAAATGGGGTTGTGACGGTAGCAGTGGGAAAGCTCAATACAAGCAAAGATATTTTTTTGTGAATACTACAAACGATGTATGTGATGGTGACTTATTTTTATTTTCGTTAGTTCCATTACAATTGCAGTGTAATGTTGAAAATAATAAAATAGTTTTATGGAAAAATCCTCGGCCCTCATCGACAAGATTTTGTAGGCCAATTAAATATAAGTTCAAAAAAGCAACTGCTCAAACTACTTTGGAAGAGTTAAAAATTGTTGAAGATCAAATCAAAAGTATAGTTCCTATAACTATAAAGATTGATGACAATAACTTAAATGTAAAACATACGTTGGTTTTTACAATGATAGATGGAAAGGTAATACAATTAATTTAATTATAAATTGTAGTATAGGACTAATTTTATTAATTAAAACTTTAAATTTTATTAATTAATTATATGACTAATTTTAATATATTAAAAAATTAATTTAAGGTTTGCAATTCAGTATCCAATACTTCAAGCCAAACATATTATATCTGTGGCAGTAGTCCTAAAAATATGAACAATATCGACTCCATCCAAGTAAAATACATTGAAAATACTAAACACTTTGGGTTTGGACTATCCACTCTTCACGCATGGATTAGGTTTTTGGAATGTATTTTACACATATCTTATAGACTGGAAATTAAAGCTTGGCAGGTAGAAACAATAAAATACACTATTAAATATTGAGTTAACCAATTAGTCACGATATTACTTAGATTAAGTCTCCAGAAAATAAAGTGAATTTTAACAATAGAAAAAAAATGATTCAAAATAAATTCAAATCAGAACTAGGATTACTAGTCGAAATAGTATTGCAAGGTAAAAAAATAACTAAACAATTTATTTTTAAATAACTTGTAACTTTTTTTTATGCTAAATAAGAAAAGGAACAACGAATGATGGAAATACAGCTCGTAGATTTTTTAAAAATTGTGAAAAATCCTCTGAAATAACAGGTGTCGACTTAAATTTAATTAAACGCTTTGGAACTATTTTGAAATCGATGGCAAGTGGTTATGAAATTAATATAAATGCATTCCAACAGTACACTATGGATACAGCAAAACTATATGTTAAACTATATCCTTGGTATTATATGCCTGCTAGTCTCCATAAAATTTTAATACATGGAGCTACTGTTATTGAATCTGCGTTACTTCCTATAGGTAAAATATACAAAACAAATAACTTAAAATTTTAAATTATTAATGAAAATATTTGTTTACGACAACTTTTAGAGGAAGCCCAGGAGGCCAGAAATGAGGACTACAAAAATTATCGTGAACATCATTCACGAAAAATTAGTAGATTAGCTCAAAATGAAGACGTTCTGCATTTTTTATTACTTTCTTCAGATCCATACATTTTCTCAATACGCAACACACCAAAAAAAAAAAAGGATGTTGTTGGATAATGAAGTAAGAGCATTATTAAACGTCGAGAATATGGAGGATGAAGAAAATTACGAAATTTAAATCCAAATAATCTAATAATATATTTTTAAAAATGTATAATTCATAAAGTAAATTAATAAATTTGATGTAAAATATACAAATGTTTGCAACAAACTATTGTTATTAACTAGTAAAAAAAAAAAAAAACGAACTATGAAAATAAATATTGTTTTTATTTTTATTTAATTTAGGATTCTCCAGACGAATCACTATCAGATGATTTAAATCCAAGAAAAAAGTGTGTTAAGAGAAAACAATGTTTTAAGGATGATTGGACCATAATACATAAATGGGTTGATAAATTTGAAGACAAATATGAAGCCTATTGTCGTTGTTGCAAAGTTAAATTTTCTATAGCGAACTCTGGCATAGCTGCGGTGAGTTTGTTAAAATATATTCATAAATTAAGTAAAATGTGATTTCAAACTATATAAATATTTTATTAGATTAAACAACATGAGATTAGTAAAAAACATAAGAATTCGCAGACATGTTTACTTAAAAATAAAACTATAGACTTTAATGGATTCAAAGGACCTACTGCCGATAAAGAAGAAAATCAAGTAACTGCTAGTGAACTTGTCCAAGTTTACCATACTGTTAAACACAATTTGTCTTATAATAGTTTAGATTGCTGTATAAAAGTCGAAAAGAAAATATATAAAGATTTTAAAATGTTAAACAAATTACATTTAGGTAGGACTAAGGCTGAAAGTATTGTAACTGAATTTTTAGGACCAGCATACCTACATAAAATAATTAATTATTTAAATAATGAAAATGTATTTGCTTTTTCAATTCCAATTGATGCCACTAACAAAAAAAAATGTGAAGCTATTCCCTCTCAGTGTTCAATATTTCAGTATTGAAAATAAATTAATTGACTTTTATGAAAATCCATATGAAACAGCTGATGAAATGTGTTCATACATAAGAAAATCTTTTGAAAAACTAAAATTATCTTTACAAAAAAATTCCGCATTAAGTGCAGATAATACTAATTGCAATTTTGGAAAAAATCATTCATTATATACTAACTTAAAAAAAGACATTCCTAATTTAATAAAAGCAAATTGTCATGCACATATTATTCATAATGCTGTAAGGTATGCAATGAACTATATATCTTTTGATATAGAAAATGTAATTTTAAAAATATATGCTCATTTTTCACAATCTTCTGTAAGGCGTGAAACATTAAAAATTTTTTTTACATTTTTGAACTGTGAATGGTCTGAATTAAAGAAACATGTTGTGACTAGATGGTTATCTTTACTTTCTGCCATAGAAAATATTTTAAAAAATTGGGATAAAATCCAATAAAATCCTATTTCTTATCTTTGGAAAAATATCCTTTAATATTAAAAATACTGTTTAGTGATAATCAATTAACAATCAATACTGACATAGATATATACTTCTTCTTTTTAAGTTATATTTTACCCTTATTCAATGAATGTATTAATAAATTACAGGGAAATAGCATATCAGTCATGGTAATTTATGATGTGATGAAGTCACTAAAAAAATCTTTAGAAATACGAATTAAAGATAAATTTTTTGGTTTCCAGACAAATCAACTTATTGAAACGTCCATAAATAAAAAACTACTTACTAATGATTTTTTAAACTTTTTGAACAATGCTGTTAATTACTTGAATAAATGGTTTGATTTCTCAGACTTAAATTGTTTAAAACAAGTAAAATGTTTTAATCTTTCAAGTGAACTTGTATATTCTGAATTATTAAATTTCATAAGTGAGCTTAACTTAGAAAATAAACTTTCTTTAAATATGAATGAGCTATATGATAAATACAATATAATAAATGAAATACTACCATTGTTAAAAGAGCCTAATTCAAATTCATGTAATAAATGGCAAAGTTTATTTAAAATTTCAAAACTTGATAATCAAAAATTTCCACTCATTAATATTTACAAAGTTGTTAGTTTTATATATAGTATTCTTGCAACATCAAGTTACTATGAGAGAGTATTTTCTATGATGAAATTAAAATATAGAGATGAAAGAAATAAGTGTAGGATTGAACTTATTAAATATGAATTAATTATCTCTCTTAATGCTAATGAAACATGTACTGAAATATATGATACTTTTGTTAACGATGAACACTTACTAAAAGCTGCTAAGAGTAATAAAAAGTATACATTTAAAAATAACATGTAATATGTTTATAAAACAAATATTTTCCCTTATAAAATATTTTTATAATTTTGTTAAGAAGTTTAGTTCTTTAAAATAAATACACTTTTTAGTTAAAAAAATTTGTTTTTTTTTTTTGTGTTTTGGTAACCTAACTTAACGGGTGGTATCGCACCGTATATTCACAATTTGTTTTATGAGTCGAAATATATCTTCAAGTCATGATGTACTTTATTTTGAAAACAAAAAGGTGGCAACCCTGTGTGCACATCAAATTTCATTTCGTTTCAAGTTTTCGTACGTTCGCAGCCATTTTCATTCAAACCACGTTTTTTGAGTAGTGTCATTTTCGTTTTGTGAATAACGTGGTTTTCATTCATTGTGTCATTGTCCAGGGCTGTGGACCATTGCAGTTTTTTCGTTGGTGACTGTGCTTGAGTGGTTGCACGTACCAATTCTGTGATTTATTTTCATTTATACACTGTGGTGTGCCGTCATAGGCAATTGTCTAATCACAGGGTTGGTACGGTCGCGTGGATGGAATCAACCATTTCAACATAGTCACAAGTGAATATTGGTCGACTATATTTGTTTCATTTGTGTTTAAAGGCCCACGGGCCTAGCCGTCACTGGCAAATTATTTATTATTTCGTGTGTGCCGTGTGGGCCACACATTTTATTTATTTATTTATTTAATTTATTTAGTTACCATTTATTTTTGCATTACCATTATTATTATTACTGTAACAATGTAGAGCCAGCATTGTGTATACAATTATTATTTATTGTGCGCCGTGTGGGCCACACATTTGATTTATTTATATTTATATATTATTATTTCTTTCATAATTCAATTTTATACAGTCCACTTAATAAACTTAAAACCACCGGCGGCCGCATAAAAATAATTACGTATCGATAATTTTTAGGCCGCCAGCTGCCGCACTAGGTATATCATTCGTAGGAAGCCATACGGCCGTGGGCTGCCGTAAATTCCCTAAATTTTGGAATAACAATAAATATGTTGGCTCTGTAGTTATAACTTTTAAATTCAAACTGTGACATAGTGGAAGAAATTGCCATTCTATCGGTATATTGCACACCCATATACGATGTTTTTTT